ATATTAATTTTCAATGAGAGCATGATGAAATCGCTTACTCTGCAATCTGGCCTTTAAACGGCGGTCGAAAACTTACGAGAAAAATGGTGGGAAACTATGAAACATTCGAAAGGAAGAGTTTAATTCCAACATCTCACCGCCTGGATGGTCAGCATCCTAAATATTCGAATCAATACATTTTTATCACCCTGTATTCATATTCGTTTTATCATCCCTTTGAACAAATGATGAAATTTGTCACTGTGATATTCACATGCCATTGGTTAGCGATGGTAACTTTTTATGTGATATTTTTGTTATTTTGAAGAATTTTGTGCCGGTGACGGTGATTGTCACCGATGTCAACGACCATCCACCGGAATTCATTCAAGAACAGTATTATGGAGTAGTGTTTGACGATTATCCAATCGGCTACTCTATTCCGTTGGTGAGTGTAGTGCAGCAGTTAATAAGTTTATTCTTATATTTCCGTAAATTTATTTCTACAGAACATCAAAGCTGTCGATAAAGACGATGGAATAAATGCAGTGATTAAGTACTTCCTGAACGGCTCAGACGCAAACTGCTTTTCAATCGATCACGTATCCGGAAGCATCAGCCTTCAGTGCGACATTTCTCGCCGGCGCAAGAAGAGCTTTGAACTTGAGGTAATTAGATTCAGTTGGCTTATTAGTTTTTAAATGCATACGGTAAAATGAAGGTTATACTCTATCAAGGTTATGTAATGTTGATCGTACAGCATATTCCATAATTCATGCTCGTTTATAATGAAAACAAATGGACATCGCGGTTGTCATTGAGTTTTACAAAAGCCATCCTGAAGTGAAATCGTGAGGAGCTGTACAGAGCGTAGGCACTTTGCAGTTTTTCAGTTATCTTCAGGCATAACTTAGAAGACGATTGTGACACGATTTCAAGCCAAACGCGACCATCGCCGAACTCAGCACTGCTGTAACTGACCATCGCGAAGCAATTTTGTTTGGCCATATGTAAAAAGAAGTTTTCTCCTCTAATTCCCACAGAACTGTGCTGACATCCACACTGCAGTCCAAATGCCCCCTTCTGGTGGTACTGTGAAAATCTGCGAGGCCCATGAAAACGCTTGTCTATGCAGTCCGATAGATTTCGGAACACTTCAGGTCATGAACGAGTCCAGAGTTAGCAAACGTTTAAGGACAAGGGAGTACAATTTCATGTATCACGCTGCGTTTCAGGTTGTAGCTATCGATCGTAACGGCTCCGGCAACGAGGCATCTGCGAAGCTCTCTGTGGTCGTTGTTCCGCATCAAGTATCAGTTGAAACGGGGTCGAATGTGACGCAGTTACTGCCTTCCAACGACTCATCGTTTGACTCCGCTTGCCGCTTAGAGTTTAGCTCGGACCTCGTGGACGTCGTTCTAGTCGAACACGCGCCGTTGTCGTCACCCGTCTACATCGCAACGTTGTCGTACGGACGTCAAACCTGTGCAAAAGTTACCTTCGGCTTTGGGGACAATTCCGCTCTGCCGTACTTCAACATCGATCCCAGCACAGGCCTGATCTCTGTTTCGGGGGACATCGACATCAGGCGCTTGGAAAGACAGGGTCTGCTGAGCGGACACGACCCTCGAGACAGCGTCATGCTCAACATCAGTGCCACCGCATATTCGCCGCCGGACAGCGACAAGCTCCAGGCGTTTATGCGAGTTCGCGTTCATGTTTATGGCACGGAGCAAAGGCAAGACGGTGGCGTAGCTTTTGTGAGCTCCAGTTACAGCTTCACGTTGAAGGAAAACCAAAAACCAGGTAAAATCTGACCCATAAGTAATCTGATGCAAATAAATATTCAATTTATTCCGCACTGTATCTTCCAGCTGTTACTGTTGTTACTTTGTTAGGTTAGCAACGCTTAAAGAGCAAAATTGAACGAAGGTGAAATGTAAAGTTACATTTCACCATTTACCATTAATTAGGTCATCTGCCAGCTGTGCAGAGACCATTCAAATTCCACTTGTATTTTCCTCTCCAGGAATCTACGAGAGTCAGAAGAACGGAGCGAACGAATTGTGCATTCTTTCCGTTATTTTCTGGCTTGTGCTTTTTCCTTTCATTCTCCTTTTCGTTGTTAGCGTTTCAATTTTCTTTATTTCCTTCTCTTTTTCGTTCTGCTGTTCTTGCGTTCTTCCTGTTCATCGTCATCGATTTGGCATATTTTTAAAATATTGAGTTTAATTATATGGTCAATGATTTTTTTCAACTTTCATTCAAATTTGAACTGAACAGTAAACAAAGATGACCTCAATATCATATAAAGTATCTGAGAATCTCAAAACCTGCCTTCAAAGTTACCTCCTTTTGTTGTTTTTAGTCTTATTATTGTTATCTCCATAAAACCTGTCATTCGGTCTTTTGACCCAGGCCTAAAAAAGTATTTATTCATTGTAATAGTTTTAATTGATGTTTTACATATGTCGACTCCATTTAGCCACCCGTCAGAGCAGTATTTTTAAGTTTCCTTGCCATCGATAGAGTCAGTTTGTACAGGAGTAGTCACTCAGTCAGCCAGATAGAAAGTCTCTGAGGCAACAGATTCAGGTAGTGTTTCTAATGTTCCCTATCCTGTACCAGCACTGGAGCTTCGACTGAGGATAATCTGAATCTTATGCACAAATCCTTCGTTTCACTTGCATCCAAGATCACTTGGCATCTTCGCCAGGCTTTCGGTTCAACTGTTCGGCTAGGCAAAAGAAGCTGTTTCTTCCTTCATTTTGTAAACATTCACAAAACGAGCCCAAACCACCGCAGACATAAAAATTACATGATCTGTTATCATAAACTTTATGAAAAACATTGCCAAAAATTCGTTGTCCTTATAGAAACCTTCAGTTTACTTTCAGCCACTGAACCAGATTTTGTGTGCGTACTTGTTTTGATGTG